CTTTCTCTCAGCTTTTTTTAATGCTTTAAATACTATGCTTTTCTAAAATCGATATATTTCAGTTTCAACAAATAGTTAAGAAAATCTGGTAAATGCTAAAATATAATTATTATTTGTTGTTTTTCTTAATGTTTTGTTGAATTTTAAAATAGTATTATGTTTGTCTGCTATTATCTTCATGTGAATCTGTAATTTCCTGTCTTAAGTTAGCAAAATTATGTAATTTTTAATTTATATATTGATCAGACCACTGATTATATACTGTAGAACGAGTAGCAGGTGTCCTTCCATGTTATATTTTTTACCACTTCATACCACTTCAGTATTAAAATTCAGCCATATCTCTTTATTTTGATAAGCTGTTATTTTTTCACTGACATGTATATGATAAGTCATAATCAGTACCCTTAGCCTCGTCAACAACAGATGATTAGTTAAGAAACTAATATTATTGGCTTGTGATTTCAACTATGTAAAACAACTTGTCAAGAAAAAGGATGTTATAACGACCCAAAAATATTTTACTGTAAATCCTCAAATTAGCCTGTGCTGGGGCTTATTTATTTTTTATATTTTTGGATGGGGGCTTGTAAAACAAGGGGGGCTTATAAAATCATAGTTGACATTAAGAAGACATTATTAAAAGACCTTGTATATTTAAGTATGAATTTCTTTATGAACATTTAATTAATTATTACCGAAAGTATGAACTTTTGTGGTAATTCAATAAAACGTCAAAGGCAAGCAAAAATCAACAAATTGAGGGGGCCAATTTGATGATTTACAGTAATAGTAGAGGTTTATTTGAGGGGGGGTTGTTGATAAGTTGTAGTTATAGGGTGGGGGCTTTTTGAGGAGGGGTTTGCTTTTTCAAGGGGGGCCAATTTGAGGATTTACAGAATGGGACATTGCTGCATCATCCATAGACCTAAACTTTGTCATATGTATAAGTTTCTCCATGTCTGTCTTATATTTCTTTATTTGTTTAAAATTACTTGCTTTTGCTTTTTGAAAATACTTATGGGAGGCCCTCTAATTCATCAGAAGTTCAAGAGAAAAGTTTCTTAAAACAATAGCCCTGCTCCAATACTTTGGTATTTTTGGTACCCTTTCAGAAAATTGGTCTTTTTGGTCCCTTCTAGAATTTGTTAACCTCAATGCCCCTTCAGCAGAACATAAAAGCATCTCTGACTTGAAAAAAGTCTCGATGTCAGTCATCATCTGTAAGCTCTTCTGGGGGAAGGGGATTGTTTGAAGAAAGTTTATCAAAAAGCAACATACAAACAATAAACTCAGAACAGAGTTTGAGAAAGCTATATCAAAATGTTAAAATGTATTTTTGAAAATCACTGAGGTCACAACATTTAAACTGAAAATTAATCAGTTGCCCTTATAACATACTAATCAGAATTATGACTTCTCTGAAAGTCAGCTGATGTGCACATGCGATACTGTTAAATAAACATTGTATACATCCATATATCCAGGTTTTATATTTGCTCATTAATTCCAGCTATCCCCTGATTCTACATGTATAAAATTTATAAACAGCTATTATACATATAATTCACAGTTGTGCTTGTTTCAGTATTTTGATATGATGCCC